GGTTTCTGGAGTTTTGTTTAGTTTCTATATTTGTTACAATGTCTCAAACTGCAGGCTCAGAGGCCGGCAAGGCAGGCGGGGAACATTGGAGTCCTCTGTCACTGAAGCAGGCAAGCCTCATGTTAGTTTCAAGCTGCCTGGCTGCCGGGCGCCATCTTGGCTGGCAGTTAATTTGCATATCTTGCTGATTAGCCAATGGGAAGGGTAGCGGTCGTATGCCAATTACCATGTTTCTCTTTTATTAGATAGGATACTGTTTTGTTGCTATACAGGTCTACTCAGATCCCCTATTCCTTTTTGAGTCAGTTTCAGTAATTTGTGATTTTTCAGGTGTTTTTCCATTTCCTCTAACTTAACAAATTTCTTAACATACAGTTATGTATGTTATCATAGTACAGATGCTCCTTGACTTTAAATGGGGTTCAGTCCCAGTAAACCCATTGTAAGTTGAGTATAAGTTGAAAATGCATTTAATACACCTAACTTACTGAACATCATAGCTTAGCCTAGGCTACCTTAAATGTGCTGAGAACACTTACATTATTGGGATGTAGCGCCATCATGAGTTTTAATTGCCTTCCTCTTCTCACCAGAAGCAAGAGGTACAGATGGGCATTTTGTTGGCATGATGGGATGTGAAAGCATAAAACACAGTATTTAAAAATGCTAGCAACACAGTACATTGTAGATTATTGGTTATTTATCCTCATAATCTTGTGGCTGATTTGGAGCTGAGGCTTGCTGTTGCTGCCCAGCATCACAAGAGTATCATATTGCATATTGCTAGCCTGGGAAAAGACCAAAATTCAAAATTTGAAGTATGGTTTCTACTGAACATATAAGATAGCCACCATCGTAAGGTCCAAAATTTGTAAGCTGAACCATAAGTTGGGGATTGTCTGTATCCTTTATAATTCTTTGTATATTTGTAGTGTCAGTAGTCAAGTCCCCTCTTTAATTTCCAATTTTAGTAATAGCGTAATAAGAGTATGTTTAATTTTGTGAAAAACTGACAAACTTTCTTGCAAAGTGACTTGCCTTCACTTCTTTTGGGTATATACCCAGAAGTGGGATTGTAGGGTCATATGGGTCATACGGTAGTTTTGGTTTTAATTTCCTGAGGGACCTCTGTTCTGTTTTTTTTTTTTTTGGTGTAATGATTGTACCATTTTATATCCTACCAACAAGAGTTCTAATTTTTCAATATCCTGGCCAATAATAATTATTATTTTTAATAATAGCCATCCTGATTAGTCTGAGGTGATTTCTCATTGTAGTTTAAAAAAATATATATATGTATATATTTTAATTGATTTCAGAGAGGAAGGGAAAGGGAGAGAAAGATAGAAACATCAATGATGAGAGAGAATCATTGATCAGCTGCCTTCTACATGGTCCATTCTCAACCACTGAGCCACAACTGGCTGGGCTATTTTTAAAAAATTTTTGTTGTTGACAATATTACATATGTTCCCTTTTTTATCCCATTGACTCCTTCTAGCCTGCCCCCCCCACCCCAGGCCTTCACCACCCTGTTGTCTGTGCCCATGGGTTATGCATATATGCATATGAGTTCTTTGGTTGATCTCTCCCACGCCCTCCCCATCTTTTCCCCTTCCCCCTGCCTTGCCTCTGTGATTTGACCATCTCTTGCATGTTTCTGTGTCTCTAGATCTATTTTGTTCATCAATTTATTTTATTAGATTCCACATATGAGTGAGATCATGTGATACTTGTCTTTCTCTGACTGTCTTATTTAGCTTTGCATAATACTCTCCAGATCCCTCCATGCTGTGTCAAAGGGTAAGAGATCCTTCTTTTTTACTGCTGCATAGTATTCCATGGTGTAAATGTACCACAGTTTTTTATCCATTTTTTCCACTGATGGGCACTTGGACTGTTTCAAGATCTTGAATTTGCATAACAGCTTTCTTTGTTTTTCTTTATCCTTTAAAAATTGCCATTGAAGCAACGTGGGTGTGTCCCATGGTGGTCTATATTTTGAGAAAAACCTCTTGGAACACTTTATATCTTAGACATCTCTCTCTCCTTTTTCTCTTTAGTTATTGAATAGATTTTCAGTTAAGCTGGCCTTCCTATGACCAAAAACACCACGTTGTATGTGCTCTGTAAAAATGTTTTGTTAGTGTAGTAGCAGTAATTCTGTGGGAAAATTTGATGACCTTGGGTTTCCTTCAGAGGCTTTTACATTTGTTGTTATTAAAATTTTATTAGCATTCATCTTTTTAAAAAATATTTTTTTTAATTGATTTCAGATAGGAAGGGAAAAGAAGAGAGAGATAGAAACATCAATGATGAGAGAGCATCATGGATCAGCTGTCTCCTGCATGCCCCCGATGTGGATTAAGCCTGCAACCAGGGCATGTGCACTGACTGGGAATCGAACTGTGACCTCCTGGTTCATGGCTTGATGCTCAACCACTGAGCACATTGGCCAGGCAGCATTCACCTTTTTTTTTTTTTTTGACTCATAGCTGCCTGTTTTATAACAGCTTTCTTTTTTATGGCTATTGTGTCTTTTTTCTTTATCTCTTTGAGAATCTGAGATATTCTTATTTTTAAAATGTTTTTTGAAGGTGTAGTTTGTAATCACCTTTTTAGTAGGAGTTTTGTTTTATTTTGATTTTTGGTGCACCCTTCTCTACCTTTGTGTTTTATGGCTGTCTCTGCCTGTCCCTTGTATTTGCTTTTTTAGGAAGAAGTTTAATATTGGAAGCTTTGGGTTTTTATTCTTCAAGGATATCGAGTAAGATCTTGAGAATCAGTCCCTGAACCAGAGAGTGACTTGACCTAGTTCATTTTTGTTTGATTGCATCTGATATTTTTCATTTGCATTGTTTCAGCCTTGGGCAGCAGTCACAGCTTTTATTGCTGTCTTCTACAACTGGGAGAGCCCTGTTTCAACCAGTTTCATAAAATGAGCCTAGCTTTTATTTTAGTACTTACTATTAGAGCTAATTTCTTAGAAATCTCAAACATTAAGATTTTTACATAATTTGCCTGTCTCTGCTTGCTCCTTCTACCTCTGGGGGTATAGAAAATTAAAGAACTGCTGTAGTTTATTGGAAAGTATATTGAGTTAACAGGATAACCATAAGTTCAGTATGGATTATAACTTGAATAGTGGTTGTGAAGTTGAAATGTCATATATATGAAAATGTTTATAAATTGAGACAAAGGACTTGTATGCATGCATATAAGCATAACCAATGGACATAAGACACTGGGGGATAGGGGAGGCTAGAGGACTGTCTAGGGTGGGGGGAAAAAATGGACACATATGTAATACCCTTTGTAATAAAAAATTTAAAAAAAAATTGAGAAATAAATTTCTGTTAGATTTTGTTAGTACTATGTTTAAATCTGCTTTTGATTTTCAGGTTGTTCCATTGACCAGTCATGTATGGCAACAGTCATCATCTCAAGAAAATAGTAGAACACAGATTTCTGATTCTAATGTGGCCTCTTCGGAAGAAACAGCTCAGAAGAGTTCTGGGGATGATCAGGTATGTCTTATATAACTGGCAAACCATCTTACTTTTGGTAAACAGCATGAGAAATTCTTTTTTACCTATGAAGAATGGAAAGAGGTGAATTACTTTAATATTCTATTTCTCTATTGTTTATATGAGTTATCTATATTGATATTTAGCTTACTAAATATTAAAACATTTAAAAATATTTAAAATGCCAAACCTATATATATTAACATAAATGATGTATTTTAAAGTAAAAAATGACTATTTTTCCAAACAATAAAAAAATTAGTTGGAAGAGTGGCATTGCTTTACATTTTTGCATATTTAATGTCAGGCTTCATAGAACACAGTTGGTCTATTAGAAAAATAAAACCAGTGGGAGACATATATACACCACATATATATATGCTCATGTAATCATGGAGAATTCCCAATATCTGTGACCTCTTGACTCAGGTGAGCTGATAGTATAGTAACAGCTTGAGTCCAAAGGCCTGAGGACCAGGCCAGCTGATGGTTGATGTTCCATTCTGAGCCCAAGTCCAAAGACAGGGGGAGACCAATGTCCCAGCTCAAAGACCATTAGTCAGAGAGAAGGAATTCTCTCTTATTCAGCTTTTTGTTCTATTCAGGCCTTTAAAGGATTGGATGAGGCCTGCCCACATTTGGAATGGCAAGCTTCTTTTACTCAGTCTATGGATCAAATGGTAATCTCATCCAGATACACCTACTGTAATGTTTAGCCAAATATCTGGGCACCCTGTGGTCCAGTCAAGTGACATATACAATTAACCTTCACAACTAGATTCTCATATCTGCTTCTGCATTTATTCCTTTGGGTTATATTGTTTTGGTTGAAGTATGTAAAGAAAATCTAGCCTTGCCCTAGTTGGTTTGGCACAGTGGATAAGGCGTCGGCCTCGGACTAAAGGGTCCCTGGTTTGACTCCGGTCAAGGTCATATAGCTGGTTGTGGGTTCAATCCCCAGTAGGGGGCGTGCAAAAGGCAGCCAATCAATGATTCTCTCTCATCATTAATGTTTCTATCTCCCTCTCCCTCTCCCTTCCTCCTTGAATCAGTAAAAATATATTTTAAAAAATGTAAAAAACAAAAGCAAGAAAATCTGACCTTACATAGAAATGTAGTTAGAAAAGGGAGGCTCACAAATGTAGTTAGAAAAGGGGGATCACTGAATAGTGGTCACTAAAAGGTGTCAGTAGCCCCCAGAGAGCCTCAGACCCCATTTTGAAAACCATTAATTTAGAACATAATCATAGGAGAACCAAGATGGCGGCATAGGTTAACGCCGGAGTTTGCCGCCTCGAACAACCATTTCAAAAGTGAAACTAAAAGACGGAAGGGACATCATCCAGACCCACAGGAACGCTGGCTGAGTGGAAGTCCTACAACTAGGAGGAAAGAGTAA